AAATTTGTGCAACGCATTTTATGGATGACAGTTTTTTGAACCTAGGAGAGTATGAGGCTGGCTGTGCACAAAGGCTATTTGTATTTATTTTTTGTCAAAAAAAATTCGGGTCAATTTCCGACTTTGCTATGACAATCTGGTGCTTCTGAATCAGCGACTGTAAGTATGTTTTGTTACTAGTTTAAGTATTTGCTGTTGACTGTTCAAATGCAGAGTTTTGCGCAGAGTAACGCGTCGTGTGTGTCTCTGTGTGTGTGTGTGTGAGGGGAACAGGATCACATCACAGGAGAGTGAACTGCCTGTCAGAAATCATAGCACGTTAGCTGTCTTAACCGTGGCTTGTATACTGCATCATCACTGTGTCTGTCACACGACTCGTGATTATGGTAAGGGGCGTTACATTTCCGACGCGTGCTTGTGGTGTTCAGCCAATCACAATGCACTGGGTCAGCTGGCCAATCAGAGCAGACTGCGCTTGTCAAAGGAGGGGGATTTGTTGAAAACAACGCGTTTGAGAGAGGCGGGGCATAGAGGACCTACAATAATGTACAGTATTTGAAAAATAATGTGTTTTTTGACACTTAAAGCATGTCAACATATTCTGTTATACCAAATACACAAAATAATGATCTTTAAAATAGCATCATATGACCCCTTTAATATAATAATAATTATATTTTTAAAATGTAAACTGTTTACTTATCATTATTATTAATAATGTTTTTAATGTTTTCAATATTATTAATAAAAACCCTGTGGATAAGCAAAAGCAAACACCACTGTAGCATGTAAAAGCAATAAAATAAAGATGCAGTGAGAATGCTTCCTGGATTAATGACAGTTTTTTTTTTCATGGCAGTCTCATGGGAGCATTTGTTAGCACTGATTTGGCTCACTAAAATACCTTCAGTCCAGTGGAGTGACCACAAGTGGCCCTATGAGACCACTGTGCTCTCTCAAACACAGTATCCCTCCTTCAGACTCTAATCATTCAAGCATCAAGCACTTACAGGCAAAGACACACGCGCACTCTTCAGACAGCTGCGATCTGAGGTAAAGCGGACCAACACTTCATCCAGTTTGACCTCTGCAGATCGTTGCAGTTTAGAGCTGTATTGATTCCCTCTAACCCCATGGACAGCTTCATCCTTCGATCCTGCAACGGCAATTTATTACATTCTCGATCCCTCTTAACTTTACAGTGCTTTTATGACGATGTAATTATGTATGTAAATAGAGAGCGGAGCGTGCTACAGTCTCTTAAGTACCTATGTTTATGTGCGCACCATGGGTTATAGTGTAAAATGTCATGTAATGCTGAGATCAGCTATATTTCAATCATTGTCATATGGACAATCTGTCAGAAATAAGTGAATCAGATGTTGATTCAGAAACTGCTCTGTTGGACTAAATTCAGTATGAGCAAATACTACAGAATACCTTGAAGGGACTTTGGTATGAGTCAGATTGATTCATTCAAAGAACTGATTCAAAACTGAGTCAGGCTACACTACACATACTGTGTTTTATTCAATAAAAAAATCCAGCTAATGAATCATTTGTTTATGAAGACTCAAAGTACATACTAAATTGGATGAAGAGCTTGACCATTAATAACATATATAAATATGTATGAAGCAGAAAAGTTTGAATTGTGAGATTAAAAAGTTGCAATTGTTTTTATTCTGTGGCAGAAACATAAAAACAGATTTTTTTTTTTAATTAATCATTGACATTCTATATGTTCCTTGGCTACTAGCTGAAATAAAATAATATTTTCAATATATTGTTTTAGTTTAACAGTTATTTATTTCTAGTAATTTTTAATTATTTAATTTCAATAACCCCATTCTGTGTACTTGATAGTTTCTCTTCACCAGGAAAATATTTCCATAAAGGAACTAAATTATTCTCACCCTCACGTCTTTCTAATATATTTAATGGTTGTCTCAGGCAACCAATTTCCTGCATCAATGTGTTTGTTTAATGTCTCCTGTATCATTTTGCATACTTTTTCTTCTCACATAATTTAAACTTAACACGTTTATGTGTCCATTTAATAATTTATTTGGTACTCATTTATGCCTCTGGATAACAGTACAATAATTTTGCATTGGTCAATTACACTTAACTTAGTCTAGATGAGGCTTTAATATCCAGTTAACAGCACAAATATGTCATATCATGCTCTAGTTTCAGCCTTGTCTTTTATCTGCTGAAAGCAGTTTTTTTGCGTAATATACTAATTGGTCTACTGAAACATATCTGCCTGCTGAACCCTCTGTTCATACTGACGTTCAGGCAGGCGCCTGCTTTAAGTGTGGCTAATTCTCTAGTTAAATCCCTGGAGTCCTTGTGATAATAAATAAATGAAATTTCATTCAAATATTTAGCTGGCTTGAGGCAAATTATTTCCCAAGTGGTTGCGCATGAGAGACAAGGATATAAATTGGTATTTAATTCCAGAGGCAATTATACAGCAGGATCACAGCAATGAGATTTATTCTTATTATGAATACAGGATGATTTCTTTATGAAATTCTGTTTTCTTTTATTGTTTCATTGTTTATTTGAAATAATTCTTAAAGGTGCTATGTTGTCTTGAAGCATACATAACTACCCTTTCAGGTCATTTGACTTTAACAAACATATTTCAGAGTATAGTATGGAATGTTGCATTAACAGATATGACATACCTTAAGATTAAGTGCAGTGTCTTTTCCTGTTTTTAAGTCTGCCAAGTGTTGTTGAGATGATAACGGTAAACACGTTTTTATACAGTCTATGGGTAAACAGCAATCAAAAGTAACAGCTGTGAGCGATTTGTGCGCCATTATCAGAACCACCAAACTACAAACTACTGACGTTTCTAAACCGAATTCCCAATATGCTTATTTTCTATTGGTCGAGCCGACGAGTAGTCCCGCCCCAGACTAACGCTATTGGCAGAGAACAGCCTCAAAATTTCTGATTGGTTAAAAGGGACGCGGTCAGATTGTTTACAAAACCTACAACGTTAAAAAAAAAAACGAAAGAAAAAAAACAATGAATAACACATTAACTTGTTTTTTTTCCTCTTTTCTTTTCAACAGGTCATTTTATTTAAAATAGTATGTTACAATGTTTCAACCTACTGAAATGAGGTTTCTTAAAGTTTTTTTTTTAATGTTTTTTAACTCTGGTTAGTTTAACCTTCACACATTTCAGATATAAAACTATTGTATCCTGATATTAGTTAATTTATGCCATTATCTAGGCTACATGAAATAATGCAAGCCTATTTATCTCCTTCACGTATGCATTATTTCTTTTTCCATACAAAGCCCCTTTCTAAACCCACCACAGCAAAGGCCTTGTTACAATCCCCTTGATTCAGCAGAAAAATAAATGAATGTTTTCAGTCAGAAAAGCTACAAAGACTCTGTCAGTACTACACATAAGCAGTAAAATGTACAGATGAAACGCAGAACAAAGACATATAGCCGTTAAACTTGTCAGTAATCGTCCCGACACACCAATTTTGGGGAAAACACTTAAAGCATTAATAATACTTTCAAGGTGGGCCTAACATTAAGAAAACACTCAGTGGGAGGTTAAAAGCTGGTTAGTGTCTTAAGTTTTAAACTGAAGCGTTATGATGATCTTAAATGGTTGCAGTTCAAGTTAATGTCAAAGAAACGCTAATAATCATCCATGTTATAAATACATTCTGGTACATTCATATCCTTTTTTTTTCCCCTCTGGCACATTGACACAAAATAAGAAACACTGACCAAACAATTAATATTTTATAGCGCTGGTGAACATTACGTGGTGGAACACTTTTGACATTTCCGAACAATACAAAAAGTGTCACACCTGCACTCCTGACGAAAAGACAAATTACACAAGCGTAACACACACAGGTCTTACTGTTTTTTTTTCTTCATTCACATTGATAAACTGGCTGAACTAATCAAATACAGAAATAATCAGGACTGAAGACACAAATGAAGTTTTTGTAAATATGCTTAGACCACAGATGCTTCTGTGCTGCAATAATAGGAGCCTTTACTCTAACCAGCGAGCAATCTGATGTACCCACACACACACACACACACACACACACACACACACACACACACACCAAACTCACTTATTGATCAGAGTATCATAGCCAAGGTGGCTTAAGCATCTGGATGAGGATAAGCTGATTTATCACTGTATTGTGCTGGAATGCAAAGCTTTTGACTTTCATTAAACATGCATGTCTTTTAAAGGAACAGTTCACCCCAAAATGAACATTTGCTGAATATTTACTCACCCTCAGGCCATCCAAAATGTAAATGAGCTTGGGAGAAATTAAGCATTGCATCACTTGCTCACCAGTGGATCCTCTGCAGTGAATGGGTGCCGTCAGAATGAGAGTCCAAACAGCTGATTAAAAACATCACAATAATCCACACAACTCCAGTCCATCAATTTACATCTTGTGAAGTGAAAAGCGAAGAAGAAACGAACTGAGAGGGAGTACATTTTCATTTTTAGGTGAGCTATCCCTTTAAGAAAATGGTCAAAATGTGCCTGTTCCTGTGACAAGGGGGACCCACTAAGGTCCTTTATGGTATATCTTTTTGGCTAAGATATATTTTAATCTCTGGTTCTCTACTTATGCATTAAAAAAGAAGAAAGAGAAACAGAAAATAGCAAACATGGACCACTTTGTATTTTATTTTGTTATTTCAGCATTCAGTGCGGAATTTTTAAATGAATTTGAAAGCAATTGCCTGCTGCCTCAGTTCTATTTCCTCAAACCATATAAGAAAAGAAACACTGTGCAAACTATTCTGATATTCTCAATCTATCCCTTGTTTTTCCACTTCAGATCCTGTCAGCAGGTACGATGTGGTGCTGTTGTCTCTCTATGACGGAGCAAGGGAAGCCTCTGCAGTCTTTAACAATAAATAACACTTAAACCAACTCAGACGAAGACTCCATGATGTTTCCTCTGAGACCAACAAATAAACTGAACGCAAAAACAACTGTATCCTGAGCGCAGCTGCTTATGTGTTTGATGCTGGGGCTCCCTACAGGTCACTTATGCAAACTACACCTGTTCATAAACACTCCTGTCCTGTCACTCCACACACACACTTCTCACTGCTCCCACACACTTGTTAACTCCTCATTTAATGGGAAATAAGATGAAAATGAACTCATTTTAGTCAGCAATACTGGGAAAATCAAGCAATAATGCCATCACAATATCATTTTAGAAAGATCACGTATTACGGTGACTTGCTACACAAATTAATTTTTGTTAAGGCATGACTTCCCCCTCCCATATATATTGATTTTTTTGAAGTTGCGATAGCAGCTGCTGTTCAAATCACAAAGTGGTCATTCGTTACTTCGCTGCCGTGATAAGAGTGCTCTAAAGTAGACTTACAGAAGAGCGTGTCTCCTAAAGCGATGGCGTGGAAGATCTTTAGGTCTCGTCCTATGTGGTATTTTACATGTACTTATGTGAGTTCAAAGTATCTATTGATGAAATGACAGCAGAACCCATTGGTGCGAAACATCCCCGCAGTGATAGTTATGCATCTGCTTTGCCACGATGATGGCATTTTGCGTTGCCGTTGTTGTCATATGGAACGCTCTGCATCTGAAAGGCACACTTTTGTCTCCGTGGGAAACGTGGTTGGTATGGCGTCGCTAGGGTGTTGCCGTGGTAAGATGGTCATTATGGTCTGCTCTAGTGTGATGATCCAGTGCAATTCCACAGGGGCTCTAGAGGGGAGTTTTAGGAAGTGGCAATCTCGCCCCCTAGGTGGCACCATCCCTTCTGCTGCTCCAGCGGCGAGAGGTAATCTGCAATACAGAATTGTTTCATTAGCTTTACTGAACAATTAATAGAATTTTGTAAATTCTGCTTTCTGTTTTATAGGCCCACCAAGTTTAAAATCACATTTACACTCCAATGACAGAAGACATCTGTCATTTTCAGTGGCCTCAGTTAGGGCTGTGCAATTAATCGAAATTCAGGTTTCGATTTCGGCCTCCAACGATTATGAAAATACAGTAATCGAGATAAAACGATTATTGTGCCCCATTCCGCCCACTTTTTAGCGGTGCTCTTTCGTTCCTCCATAAAAGCCCAATTTCACATGCAAATCAGTAAAATCATGTAACGAGACTTTTGCAAAACGGGATGTGCTTGCTTTATTTAAGTTGATTAGACTGATTTATGTTTTTAAAAGCGTGAAAGAACTTGCGCTTCCTCTGGAAGATTACCGTGTATGCGCTGAGACAGATCACAACATGGACATGTAAAGTCATCTTTTAGCGCCTAAACGGTCAAATACACACAAAAATGTGTCAAAATGCGGCGCTTAGTGATTATTCACGTAAACCCACGTTGGTTATGTAACAAATGAATGTAAAGAGTTGAGAATGAAAATACTCGTGTAACAGTAAATTGGATCCATGCGGCTCTTAAAGTGACAGCGGCCTATTTTCCTGCTGCCGACTATGTGCTTAATATTAATCAAACAACAAAAGACAAAGAGAAAATCAATCACTGCTCTGCTCACAAAGACTTTTGTAGCTTTAATAAGAAACAAAGAAAGTTTAGTCTTTGATCTTCCAAGCTGTTTAATGGCAGTCAGCGGGTGTTGCAGTTCATCAGTCCAAAAGAAGTGAAATAAAGCTCATTCATCCATAATAAAAAGTGCTTCACACGGCCTCCTGTAACGAATCGATGCGTTTTTGTAAGGAAAATAACCATATTTAAAACGTAATAATCAATTTAATCTAGCTTGCTCTCACTGTTGTACATGGAAGCAGCTCCGGGCGGATGACATCGGCTTTGCGCCGCTCAGAAGTGACGCACACGGAAGCGCAGGGGAGAGATCAAAACAAAACAACGGTCACTAACTAGAAGTACAAAACGAGGATTTGTAAAGAAGAATGTCGGAGGATATCGATATAAGCCAAGAGGAGACTGGTTTTCCTTTGCTAAAGTAAGGAAACTTTGCTTCCTTTGCTCCTGTAAACAAACGTTGGATTTCACGAGACTCACCGGCGCATGCGCAACGCTGACCTCATACGTCATCCTCCCGGAGCTGCTTCTGTGTACAACTGTTTGCGCAAACTACATTAAAGTGATTATTACATTTTGAATATAGATATTTTTCTTACAAATCACATCGATTCGCTACAGGAGGCCTTTGTTCACCCCCCGGAGCCGTGTGAGACACTTTTTTTTATGGATGGATGCGCTTTATTTCACTTCTTTTGGACCGATGCACTGCAACACCCGCTGACTGCATTAAACAGCTTGGAAGATTAAAGACAATTTTTAATATAACTCCGATTGGATTCATCTGAAAGAAGGAAGTCATATACGCCAAGGATGGCTTGAGGGTGAGTAAATAATGGGCTAATTTTCAGTTTTGAGTGAACTATCCCTTTAATATTAATCAAACAACAAAAGACACACTCACTGCTCTTGACTGAAGGACTTTTGTAGCTTTAATAAGAAACAAAGGAAGTTTAATTCTTACCGTGAAGACTATGCTGTTTTATTTTACATTAGGCTATTCAATTTCTTTAGTAGGCTGTTAACTGAATACTTTAGACTTAAAAACTTAAAGCACAGTTTGTTTCATTTGTATATTTTTTATTCTATTGTATTCTTTTGCTTTTTTATTACTGGCATTGTATTCCTTTGCTTTTTTATTACAGTTTAATTATTTTCAATAATTCT